AGAAAAAAAATCACAAGGGACATGAGAAAATATTTTGAACTTAATAATTCATATTTCAGTGAAAATATATCAAAATTTATGAGATGCAGCTAAAGTATTGCTTAGAGAAAAACTTTCATAAAATTTTTAGTTTTAAATGCTTATAGAAGAAAAACTTAAAATCAATTATCTAAGTTTCTGCCTAAGAAGACAGATAAAAAGAGCAAAGTAGGCTGGGTACGGTGACTCACGCCTGTGACCCCAGCACTTTGGGAGGCCTAGACAAGAGGATTGCTTGTGGCCAGGAGTTCAAGGATGCAGTGAGCTATGATCGTGCCATTGCACTCCAGCCTCAGCCACAGAGTGGACCCTGTCTCTTAAAAAAAAAAAAGCAAAGTATAGAAACAAAGAAATGACAAAGAATAGAAATCAATGAAATATAAAATGGGCAAACAATAGAGAAAATCAGTAGATCAAAATCAGTAAAACTGAAAAACTTCTTGCTAGACTGATTAACAGAGACAAAACCCAAATTATCAATACCAAGAATGAAAGAAGCCATCACTGCACACCTAAATACATTAAAATAATAATAAAAGAGTATTATAAAGTTGTTCAATAAATTTGACAGCTTAGATTAAATGGACAAATTTCTTGAAAGACATAAATTAACTCAAACTGACATAGGAGAAGTTAAAATATTGAGTTCTATAATCATTAAAGAAATTGAGTTTGTAATTAAAACCTTCCCACAAAGAAAATTCGAAGCCTAGATGACTTCATTGTTGAATTCTATCAAATATATCATTCCCACACAAACTCTTCCAGAAAACAGAAGAGAAGACTTTGCATTTCATTTTATGAGGTCAGCATTTCCCTGATACAGAAATCAGACTTTAAGAAAACTACAGACCAAAAGCCTTCATAAGCACAGATGCAAAAATGGTTAACAAAATATTAGCAAATCTAATCCAGCAATAAAGTAAAAGAACAATACATCAGGACAAAGTAGAGTTTAGCATTTAAAAAAATAAATGTAATCACCACATTAGCAGAAAAGAGAAAAAATCATATAATCATCTTAATAGATACAGAAAAAAACAGAAAAAATTTTATATCAATTCATGATAAAAACCTGAGTTAGGACTAGAAGGGAACTGTCTTAAGCTGATGAAAGGCATGGACAAAAACCCATAGCTTACATCATTTTAAATGGTAACACTTTCCCTCTGAGATTAGAACAAGGCAAGGATGTCTACTTGGGTCTCTCCCCTGCACAAATGTGTCTCAAGTAAACAGGGACTCAGAGGGAGAGGTCTCTGGGCCAGACACAACTTTGGACCCTCTGAGAACTTCCTGTTCTACCTTCCTTGAATTTCTAAGACTTGCCCAGTGCTGGAAAAACCTTCATCTGTGGAAGACTATGGCAAAGCTTGCTTTCACTTTTTTTCAAGTGAGCAGACACCCTGAAAATTATTAAACCACTATCATGTCAGTCTCATGGGCACACAAGAAAAGGATGGTATTACTTGGAAAAGTATATAACATGCAAGATAAAAACATGTTTATGCATTTTTTAAAATATAATGAAAGGTATTTCACCAGGAATATAGGAATTAGTTAGCTAATTTTTATCTATCTGTTCTAATAATGAAAACAGGGGTATTGGAGTTGTTACATAGAAAGAAAATTCCTGGCCAGGCACAGTGCTCATGCCTGTAATCCTAGCACTCTGGGAGGCCAAGGCAGGAGGATGGCTTGAGCTCAGGAGTTTGATACCAGCCTGAGCAAGAGGAGACCTTTTTCTACTAAAAATAGAAAGATCAGCTAGGTATGGTGGTATGCAACTGGAGTCTCAGCTACTCTGGAGGCTAAGGTAGGAGGATCTCTTGAGCCCAAGAGTTTGAGGTTGTAGTAAGCTGTGATGACGCCACTGCACTCTAGCAAGGGTGACAGAGCGAGACTCTGTCTCAAAAAAAAATTCCCACATGCAAATGCTCAAAACCATCAGCCAGAACTATCATTTTCTTAACATTAGCAAACAGCATGTTACCCTGCACTGCTTAAAAACAAAATAACGCCCCCCCCCCCAAACCATACGTAAAGCAGGGGGAGGAGGAGCAAGAAGGGAAGTAGTCTACAAGCAACCATTTTCAGGTCCAGAGTCACAAGCAGAAGCATTAAGAAGAGGAAGAGGCAAAAACCGATTAGAGATGGCTTGTTCACCTTCTGGTATCTCCCAAGCAAATCTCTAAAGAGGAAGAGAGAGGTCCTTGTCATAGCTTTTCATTTTGGGAAATAAAGATTTCTAGTCCTTCAAATAATGCCACAGGGGTGAACACCCCCTAAACATCTTTTAGTGTACTAGATGAGTGGTTCTTAGATTTTTATTTTCATCAACCATTAAAATTAAAAAAAATAAAACTAACACAGAATCTTGGGGGACCAATAAGGGATTCCCAACATTAGATCTGGACACGAAAGAATGGATGTCTCCTAATATCATTCCATTGGAACCATCTACTAACATCACCATCATTTTAACAACAAATAAAGCAAGGAGAATACAATCTTGGGATATAAATTCTAGCTTTAAAAATACACATTACACGGTATTTTTCTCATGTTGCTTCAAATGAGTGAAATCTATGGGACAGCACTGGCCAGGGGACTCCAATTCTTGACCCAGCCTAGGCAGCAGTCATGTGAGTGAAGCCCTTTTGGGCCAGACTGGCCTATCCACCGTCGCACCTCATCAAACCTCAAAGCCCACCATCTTCCCACTCACCTTCAGCTGGTAATAGAGGCCATTCAACATAGAACCTGCTCAACTCCTCCTGCCCAGCCCCATCGAAAATCTCATCTGCACCCACACTGAGCCTTGACTCATCCTCTCCCTTTGCAGTGGAAGAGATGTCTCCCACCTGGTTCTGGACCCCCCGACTTCTGCCTCGTCAGGGGTGCTAATTCCGCTAACTCCAGCACCCCTCACCAGCTGTGGGGGATTAAAATTCTTTGACATTCCTCCTACTGAGAGGTGGGGTCTATGTCCCCTCTCCCTGGGGTCTGGGTGGGCTCTGTCACTGCTTTGACCAAGAGCATATGGTAGAAGACACTTCCTATCTCTTGGAACCTTCTCTCGAGGAGCCCTGAGCTACCACATAAGAAATCCAACAATCCTAAAACTACCATCCTGCAAAAGCTTCAGTGTGGTAGTCGGAGCTCAGCCTTCCAACCATCCCTGAAAAGGCTGCAGACATGTGATGTCTTGGACCCTCCTGACTGGACCATCCACCAGCTGAAGACTACTGAGTGACCTTAATTAATGTCACGTAAGCAGAGGAATTGTCTGGCTGAGCCCTGCTCAAACTGCTAACCTATAAAATCATGAAATACAATAAAACGGTGTTTGTTTCGAGCCAATAAATTTTCTTTTAATTTTTTAGGTAGCCACAGATAACTAGAACATGAGTATCTTTAAGATACTTCTCTCTCCGAGCTGTTTGCTTTTGTAATATAAAAATAAACAAGTTCAAGTCTGGCCCAGTCTAATAAAAATTTTTCACTTTACCCTTAGTCCCCTTTTAAATACCTCACACCTTCATCTGCTCCTTCCTTTCACCTGTTCCCACCTTTCACTTCCCATCATTCTGCTATGATGCTTCTTCCCTAACCATACCAAGGAAATGATTTTTGCCCAGATCAGTGACATTTAGGCCTGGCTAGATACAAACAGGCAACGATTAGTTCATACCTTACCTTATCTCTGCCACATGGTACTCCTGCGCACCTGTTCCTCTAGGAAACGCCTCTCCCCTGGTGTCCTCTATCCCGCTCCCTCTTGGTCTTCTTACCTCCCTAGTAACTCTTTCTCCCCATTCCCTCTCTGCTGCCTGGACCTCAAATATTGAGATTTTCCTAAGGTTCGCTTCTCCACTCGTCTCTTCCCTACATGCTTCCCGCCGTCATTATATATCCATCCCTACATCCCTTGCTTCAAACACATGCTGTGCCCTGACACCTGTCTGTACTTCCAGCCTAGACCTTTCTACAATCAAAGGGCCAACTTAACAAGGATGAGAACAAAAGCATATTCACCCCCGCCCCTCACACTGCCGTTCTATCATACTTCCTCGTCCCCTTGGGAGTTACGCTTCACTCCTCCTTCAGCCACGCTCATACTGCTCCTACCCGGTCAATACGTCTAGAACTGGCCTATCCCTCTCTATCCTATTCCTAACGCGACAGCTCAGGATCTCATCATTCCTTATTGCACATTCCTCTGGCCTCCGCATTCAACTCAATCTATTACATCTTGCGAGAGTGTTCATTCTAAGGTTTAAATCTCATCATATCGTTCCTTTGCTAAAATCCTTTAGCGGTTCCCCGACAGTCCTGGTTGTAATTCAAATTCCGCAGCATGACATACCGGCCTTCACCTACTACCTCACATCTCTGGCCCCTTCCCACCTGTGTCCTTACAGCCAACCACATGGAAGTGTCACTGTACTCTCTGCTACTTCCAGCCTCTGTACCTATTATTCCTTCCGTATAAAATGTCCTTCCCTGATTTCTAAACCAAATTAATAGCAGCTTTTTGATGAAAGCTTAATTTAGCTATTGCCTTCTCAAAAAGCCTTCCCTGTTCCCTTATTCTGTCTTACATACCTTTCCCAGTGTTCTTACTCTGTGTTCTTCTCATCACGACATATATTAAAAAATAATTTTCTATTTAATAGCCTACTTAGAAGTCTGTCTGAGAACTAGACTAAGAATGCCTTTAAAGGCAGGGACTTATTTTTTATCTCAATTCTCCAATCATACTTTGGCATCCAGTGCAGACTCAGAGATGTTTGTTGAATGACTAAATGACTGAATGAGAGAGTGGCATCTATTTGATTGTCAGATTTACTAGTTTCACTTAGACTTTTAACAGTATTACCAAAAAAATTGTAAAATTTATGAAAGTAATTTCTCCCTACAAAGGAATCATGTTTAAAAAGGGCTGTATTAAAATTCACCTTCTCAGTTTTTCCTTGCTTGAATGAAGAAGAGAAATCTTTTTGCTTTTCTCGAACTCTGACAACAGAGACTTTGATTCAAGCCCATTGTCACTTCTTAGAGATTCAGAGCTAGAAACAAGAGAAAATCATGCTACGTTAAAGAGGTAAATTGTCAGGCAATATTAAACAGTAAGTACCAATACACCACTCAAAGAGTGCTTTTCTAAGTCTCTTGCTCATATAAAGGGGCAATAAATATCAAAGCACTTTATCTTACACATATGGCACAGAATGTTTGTTTCAAAATTTCAAAAGAAGATATTATCAAAATCATCATAAATTCAATGACCGATCAAAATTCTAACATATACTATTAATAATAGATACAAGCAGGATTAAAACATTCTGACCCCATTTGTTATATTTATACCAAATTATATGAGTGTACCTACCTATCAGAAGGAAAGGTACATTACAGGAAAAAAGCATAAAGGATTAGAAGGCCAAGATACACCCTATTCCAACTTGATCAGTAAAGGGAAGGTTCCCTCCATTTCAAAATTTGTCATTTAATGGACATATGCTGGCTCTACTATTTTTCTAGAACTTCCTCAGGCATTTTGATTGATTTTTTAAAAATTATTAATCTAAAAAACTTACAAACTAATCCTATTCCTTTTTTTCTAAGGGAAGTAACTTGATTTGAAAATTTACTTTTATTTACAGTGGTAGGATTCTGAGGAAAGACAGAAATATTCCAGATGAGTCAAGATCAAAAAGTAGTTGCAAGTAATATAAGAAAATCAGGAAACTTTCCAATACCCTTCCTAACCTCATATCCCAGATAAGGTTTAATACAGTAAGTCTCTTGAAGGTTAAAATAAGACCAAGAAAGCTGTTGCTATTTCTGCGCTACCTAAGTAAGCTCATCTTTGGTTTAACCAACTTACTGGTTGCCAAGTCCCTTCCTTGTTCAAAATAGTAGGTGGCCACATTCTACAAATTCCGGAAGTGACTGACTCAAAATTCTCACCATCATCAGTACTCATGTCCTCAGCATTCTTTGTAGCCCTGTGCTCTATTTAAAACCTCCCTGGAAATCAGCTTAAAGTGAAGGGAAGAAATTCACGAAAAGTGCATTTTTGTAAGCATACAATGCTGACATTGGAAGGATCTGGTCCCCAGTTCAACTGCCTTATCTAATGCAGGTTTGAATGCCAGTATCTATGAGACAGACACGCAGAGATACATTAAAACTTGCCTTGTTTACCAGCAAGCTACTCTAAAAGCTACATGAGGTACGTAAAAGAAACTCTAAATCCTTTTTTAACAGTAATTTTCAATAATTGGAGGGATAGGGTCATGACTTCACGAAAGACAACAGGAAGCAGCTGAGTGACAGGTGGATAACAGGTGAGGCTGTTCTTGTGCTTCCTTATGTTGGGTTGATTGCTTCTGTAATGTGTACCCATGGGGGCCAGCTCAAGATTCTGAGACACAGAAAATGCTGCATCTCTCTTCCACAAAATAGCCTCTTCTTCCTTTCACATCACTCCCAGCACTTGTGCTAGTGTTCCACGATTTAGAGATAGGGTCTCACTCTGTCACCCAGGCTGGAGTGCAGTGCTGCAGTCATAGCTTACTGTAACTTTCAACTCCTGGGCTCGAGCCTCAAGCTCCCAAGTAGCTGGGACCACGGGCATGTGCCACCATGTCCGGCTAATTTTTAAATTTTGTTTCAGAGACAAAGTCTCACTATGTTTCCCAGGCTGGTCCCACCTCAGCCTCCCAAAGTGCTGGGATTACAGGTGTGAACCACCATATCCGGCCCAGAAATATTTTTAATGAAATACGGTAAATATTACCATTACGAAAAGGTACAAAAAAACTAACCAGGCAAATAGATCAGTAGAAAAATATTCCAGGGGTTCACAGCAAGACCTCTGCAGGAGCAATCCAGATTCTTCAAGGCTCATAGTATTTTCATTTTTAACTGAAAATTTTAAAAGACGCACCATGTTAATTCTAAAATTACCCCTGGGGATGATGCCAATCAAACATACAACCCCAATCCTTAAAGCAGTTGTCACCTTTTACTCAATAGATTTTACAGAGCGGTATTTTTAAAATAGAAAGCAATTTATAGATTTCAGTCTCTGAAGTATAAAACCACCTAGGTTAGAAAGCAAGAACTAAAATACTATATACTATTTACCCCAAGATACCCTCTTTCGAACAGATTCTAGTAGCTTAGCGACAGGTATGCTGAAAACACATTTAACTGAGTTTATTTATCAAGTTCCTATTTATAGGTAAATGTCAAGAGACAGAAAATATGCATGAGTCTTCATAGCAGCTGCATCGTCAAAATATGGCATCTGAATTATTGTTATTATTTAGTTTTTTGCAGCTGCTCATCCTCTGAGAAAAGATGAGACAACTGGACTGGAAGCAGACATGGTCATGCCCAGCAGAAGGGTGTGGACAGGTGAGGAGCAGCTGCTCTATGTCCACTAAGATCCAAACAAGAAGAGGTTGCAAAAGCCCTTGGTCACCATGGTTAGCCATTTCCAGGAAGAACTTTAAGACTGCAGGGGCTGGGAGCCACCGGAATGTTACAAAACAGACTCACTCATCTGAATATTAAAAAAGAACATAAAAAAAGGAGGGGTGTACTGAATCCTGTGTCATTGGGAATCTGAGCTCATACAGGATAATCCTGAAAGTATCTTTTAGGCTCACTCTAGGAAAAATATCATCTTAATTTTTAGAAAAATGTTTTTCCAGCTTGATTGAGGTATAAAATGTGGCTATTTAAGTGTACAACTTGAGCTGATATACATACAGATTGTGAAATAATCACCAAAATCAAGTTAATAACATATCTATCACCTCACATAGTTACCACTTTTGTGGTAACAACACTTATAATCTACCCTCTTAGCAAATTTCAAGTACACAAAACAGTATTAATTATAGTAACACTATTGTATATTAGAGCTCCAGAATTTATTCATCCTACACAATTGAAACTCTGTACCCTGTGACCAACATCTCACCATTTAAGATCTAGATTTTATTAGGTTATTAAGTCTGGAATGTCCGATTTCCTTACGTACTAAGTTTGACAGTTGATATCTCTGACATTTCACTTTGACATTTCTTGGGTTTTTTTTTTTATTGTGCATTCTTTCAAATGCATGTTTTAGCTTGTGATTATCTTTCAATTTTTTTTTTAGAGCAACTTTTGTGAAACCATGGATAAGTAAATAATTCATGTTATTTTTCAATATGAGTTCTGCCATGGACCCAATGCAGTGCAGACAGCTCAAAATATCAATGAAGTGTTTGGGAAGGATGTGGCTAATGAACGCACAGTATGTCAATGGTTTGAGAGGCTCCATTCTGGTGATTTTAATCTTGAAAATGAGCCACGTGGGTGACCTAAGACCAAGGTGGATAATGATGAGCTGAAAGCTGTAGTGGAAGCAAATCCATCTCAACCTATGTGTGAATTAGCAACAAGGTTTGATGTTACTATTCCAACAATATTGGACCATTTGAAACAAATGGGCAAGGTAAAGAAGCTGGATAGATGTGTACCACATGAATTAAATGAGCATCAGAAAAGAAATCGTCTTGAAGCTTGCCTTTCTTTGCTGTCACAACATAAAGGTGAACCATTTCTATGCCGTATTGTTACATGTGATGAAAAATGGATTCTTTTTGACAATCACAAGCATTCAGCACAATGGTTGGATAGAGATGAAGTGCTGAAACACAGTCCAAAACTGAATATTCATCAAAAATGCTAATGGTGTCTGTTTGGTGGTCCAGTGCTGATAGTTTCCACTACAGCTTCATGAAACCTGGTCAGTCTATTACAGCAAATGTCTACTGCAGTCAATTGGATGAAACGAAAAGGGTGCTTGCGATTAAGCAGCCGAGATTGGTCAATAGAGACACGCCAATACTCTTGCAAGACGATGTTCGACCACACGTCAGACAAACAATGCTGCTCAGACTGCAGAGGTTGGATTTGAACACTCTCTGTCATCCATCGTATTCACCAGACTTTGCACCAACTGACTATCACTTATTCCAGGCTTTGGACCACTTCTTGCAAGGAAAAATATTCAATTCTCAACAAGCTGTGGGAAACCCTTTTTGATTTCATTGCCACTTACTCTCCAGGCTTCTTAGCTGCTGGCATAAACAAGCTACCATTAAGATGGCAAAACTGTGTTGACAGTTTAGGTGCATACTTTGATCAATTGTACTGCTTCTTGTTTGAGATATAATAAACTAAACTTTTGATTTGAAATCGGACATTTCATACTTAATGACCTAATAAACTATTTCCTAGCTAGTATCCCAGGCCTAGAAAGACCAAAAGTAGTCACTAACCAATAATGATTCCAGTAAAATGTAATTTCAGAAATTGGAGCTTGTCCTCTTACAAGCCAAATTAAAGCAATTTAATTAAGTGTTTAGATGCTAGTGATATGCATAATGTAACAGGTTAAGAGTTTAGAAATGTGAGGTCTAATTGAAGCACTGACACTAATTCTCTGTGACCAAAACAGAAAGGACGACCACTTTATCAACTTAAAATAGTAAAAGAATTTACATGCAAGTTGTTTGTTAAGCAGAAAGTACTATACAATTCAAGGTCCATGTCCCTGGCTTTTAGATAATCATACAATGATATAGCATGATTAATTCCACTTTAATGACAAAGAAATTATGGTAGCTAGGCTACCCTCCACCCCTCAAAAAACAGTAACACAATCTTGCTACCAAAGAAAATAAATATACAACCCTGTGCCCACCATGACACTGTATTTCCCCTTGTGCAACACATTTAAACCTCTGAAGATGTTAATTTTTTTATTCACAAGAAATATATTTTTCTTTTTTATTTAAACTTATTTTCTTCAGACTATGATTAAGAAAGATTACATGTTCTTTATAGTACATAGCAAGCAGTTAATCCTCAGTAGGTAAAAAGCGTAAGTGGAAAAGCAATTTAAAAATGTACACAGTTTTCAAAGAATTTTAATTAGAATTTTTCAAATATTTGGAAATTTAGTTTTTACTCACCAGTATTTGACAAATATGTTTTCCAGTATTTTACCACAATATTCATTTTTTCCATTGTCAGCGGTTCAATTAAAGTAATGTCAGCTCCGTGCCCTGAAATACAACCTAAGAATCTTTGTATTAAATATTGACCTCATGATTTCTAGTTGGAGAAAAAACAAACACTATATCCCACAGGTACATACTTTTGAATTTTTCAGGGATTACAAAAACAAACAGCAAATGTGTGTTTTTCATCTTGCCAAATCTGAGAAGAAAAAAAAAAAAATGTTAAAATGAAGGAAAATCCTCATTCAAAAAATTGGAATTCAAGAATTTAGTTTATAAGGCACTACACTACAGTGCTTTTCTTTATTTCTTTAGAATGTAAAATGGTATCATTAATATGAAAATTTAGGAAAAGTAGCACTTCAAATCAGTGAGGAAAAAGATGTACCACTTTT